CCTCCTTGTAAGCCACCGCGGGAGGAAAATCTGCCCCCGTTGAGGCCGGAGGCCATACGTGAAGCGTCAATGTCATTCTCTAGGGACACGGCGCAAACGTACGACGGCTTCCACCCTAGGCATTTTTGCTTTCTCTCGTTGGAGCAACTCGAAGTGGTTGCGATACTTTTGCACTCGGTGGAACGCCACGGCAGGTTCCCCACGGCCATCTTAGCAGTAGTTGCGACCCTTCTTCAGAAGGCTGCTGCAAAGCAACCGGGAGTACCCGCCTTCCGAAGCATAGGCCTCTTACCAGCTCTTTACAGGGTCTGGGCAAAATGCAGGCTGCCCCTCGCGAAGGCCTGGGAGACAGCACGCCCCAGACCCTATCTGTGCCACCAGAAGGGCCGCAGCATCGCGGAATTAGTGTTCCAGCAAGCGCTAGTGCCAGAGGCGGCCACAGCGGAGGGGCGCCCAGCACACTCAGCAGCTCTCCTGTGGGATATGTCTGACTATTACGAGCATGTGCAGCGGCCAGTCTTTTGGGAGCGCGCGGATAAAACGCACTTCCCGCTATCCATATTAGCTGTCGTGCTCAATCAGCATCAAGCCCTTCGTTTCGTGTCTTACGAGGGCGCGACTGTTCCTGCGGGGCATCCGGGCCAAGGGCTCGCTGCCGGGGGCCCTTTTGACACGTATTTAGTGCAGGTGTACACGTTAGAGCCGCTGGACGCGTGGCAGTCCAAGCACCGGCGTCTGCCGCTCTCCTTGTTTATAGACGACTTCCAAGTGGGCATCACAGATGATGACCCCGAAGTTGTCGTGAGGGAGTTGACGGCGGGAGCAGAGGCCTTGGCTAAAGTGATTGAGAATGACCTGGGTTGTACTGTGGCTTGCAGAAAATCGATCACTCTAGCCAACTCAGACGGCCTTCGCAAAAAGCTGGCCAAAGCGCTGGGCTCCAAAGCTGGGCAAGTTGCACCGTCAGGGAAAAACTTGGGGGTAGATTTTGCAGTTGGCAACCTCCGTTGCCGACGTCTCAGTCGCCCAGTGCTGAAGCAGCGAATGCAAAAGCTACAGTCTCGGAAGAGGAGGCTCGCTGCTCTCCGCAGAGCAGGCACCGATATGAGGAAGCTTTTCGTCAGCGGCCTCAATGCGCACGGAACGTACGGTGTTGAAGTCGCGGGAGTTGATGCGGCGGAGCTTCATCCAGGGGGGACGTACGTTCACGCTCCCTGTCGCTGGCCCTGCACCAGGACCCCACGTGGAGACAGGGCTTGGCGCCAGCATTGCTATGGACCAAGCTGGCTTGGAGAGCTGGCGCAGACATGTCCGACGGCAACCATTTCCAAATGCCACGCCTGCTGGAATTGGCCGCCCCGATACTCAGGCACCCCCCGCGAAAATGGGAAGAGGTGCGAGGGCCTCTAGCGGCCGCTGTTCTGTCCTTGCGGCGCATCAAGTGGGAGTTTCACACAGCTTTGGTTTTCAAGGATGAAAGGGGAAACCTCTGGCCTCTCACGGCATTCCCCCCAAAATTCCTTTAGAAAAAGATGAGCGCAGCATGGCAGCGAATCCACTTAGACACCATCGCGGCCAAATTCGGATTGGGGCCCGAAGCATCTCTCGATTTAAGCGTTGCCAGGAACCTGGTATCAGGAGGGAGGCTGCCCAGACAGGAAGCCAGCATCCTCATGTCATTTCTGTGCCAGTCGGCGTGGACTGGACACAAGCTCCAGCAAGCAGGGTACGAGGCATCTTCCATTTGCGCATGCGGGTCCCCAGTGGACCATCTCTCTCACAGGCTCCACCACTGCCCGCTGTCGGCCCCGCTCAGAGCCGACATGTTGGAGCCCATTGACGTGACCATCCTCAGCGACCGCCGACGCAACTTCCCCCTGGTGTGCGGGGTCCTGGAGTTGCCAGGTTTTTCTGTCCAGCCACCAAGTGGATCAGGCACTAGACCTTTTAAGTTTTGGTGCGCGGACCCCGCACTGAGTGTCAAGGAGGCATTTCGCGGGGAGGTGTTCACAGACGGATCGTGCCTCAAGGAAGGGCCCGAGGAGTTTCACGTAGCAGGGTGGGCAGCAGTCAAGCTCACAGCGGGGGGCGACATCTTTGCCGCTTTATGGGGTGCGGTTGGAAGCCATTACCCGCAGACGTCCCCTGCGGCAGAGCATGTAGCAGCCCTAGCCGTAATGGAGCACTGTCCTGACGCAAGCGACATTCACTCTGACTTTCTTGGTCTAGTCCAGCTGTCCGACGCCCCTTGGACAGCCGTCGCCTCTCGGCATCATATCTACGCGGGCATGCGCATAAAAATACGTGCATCGCCAGCTTGGGATGCTGAATTCACCATCCGCAAAGTGGCGGCGCATGTAGATCTGGACCAGCTGGAGCCTCAATCCAGAGAGTGGTTCCTGGCGACGGGCAACGATTACGCCGACCGGTATGCCAAGTTAGGAGCGGCGTCCCTGGCGCAACCCTCCAGCGCGGAAAGGGAGGCCCATGCCGAAAATGCATCCACTTTGCAGCAGTACCTTCGATACGTTGCTAAGTGTCTGTTGTTGTACCCGAGGCTGGCGCCGTCTAAAAAGATGCGCTCTACTTTCAAATCGGTTTTGCGGGCCCCCTGTTTTACGATGGGGGCCGCGTCGGCCCGGGACGCATTGCCAGAACCCCGCCAACTCGGCAGGATGTCGAAGACAGGGGGTGGTGGGGGGAGAAATGGCCCGCGCACGCGTGCAGGCCAGGTGGAGAGATCGGCCGTTCTCCCAGGTCCGCATAGGACGCCAGCAGCGCCAGCAGCCATTCCTCACAGTCCCGCGACACCTTCGGGCCCAGCAGTTCCAGAGGAAGCCAGAAGAGGCTCGCTTCTTCCGTTCCTCTCACCTACAAATGGGCACCAATTCAAGTGGATCAGGCACAGATGGGCGCGCCAGAAGTGCCTTAGGCGAACTCGCAGAGACCCGCCTTTTCTAGCTTTCCCCTGCGCAGGGCACAATGCAGTGCTCAGCGAACTGGTGCGCGAAAGGCGCGGGCACGCGCTGTTCGTCACCTCTACTCCGGGCGGCATTTTGTTCGTCTGCATGAAATGCGGATGCATTCCGGAGGGAGTGCGCATTAGCAACCTCAGCAAGCGCTGCACTACACGCCCGGCCAGCGCCCACACGAGAGAGAATTTGAACAGAATTCGTAACGGCCAGCATCCGTCACACAAGAGAGGGAACGCGCAGGTACTGGAAGAGCTGGTCCCTATAGACGACTTTCTGTAGATATATCCCTATAGAGGGTTCGATGTTGAGGGTGTCGTGGGGAAGGGAAGGCACACGGAGCGGCAGCGAAGAGTAGAGCGGGACATGGGCGGGACTGATTACCCCTCTCGCGGCAGCAATTGTTGCAGAGTGCTTCGCATTGCAGCCCCTAGCGAAAACCAATCAAAAAGGAGGTGGACCTGAACGGGCCACCGCCAGAGGGATGCGATTCGGTACTCGTTGTCGCTGTGAGGAAAAAGGATCATCGCACCGCTCCCGTGGTTGTTGCTTTCTGTGTGACCTTGGATGCAGAGTGTAAGTTGATATGTTCCCTTCCTTTCGCATGCAGCTTCACATGCATGATGTGTATATCTGAGCGTGGGCTTTCACTTCAGCAGACGGTCGGGCCCCCGAGCACACGAGCGGACCAGAGGATTTATTAACCGCACGCGCGCCCGAGCCTGAAGCACGCGCATGAGACTCCCAGGCTTCTCTTCTCCCATCTCTCCTCCTTTCCCCCTTGCCAGTCCCGTCCGGGATCCGAGTGGCAGTAGACGCCGCAACAAGGGAGGGATACAATTTCCCCCAGTTTCGTATCATCCAGAATCTGCGTTGTTACGGTTTCCGCCCTCGTGTTCTCGAGGGGGGGGTATGATTTGTCCGCCCGCTCTGGGTGTCACGGAATACCCCCGAGGCGCGGGTAGCAGCCGGCAGCGGGAGACAGCACATGCTAGGCTAATAATCCCATTAAGTGGGATAGCAGATGCCCTGCTAGAAAAAACATATCAATCAGGGATGCTCGCAGCGCGATGGACTTGCATGCGTTGGCACCAGGCTGGCAGGCCCGGTGCACCTGATGCGGGTGCCCGTCATGCTGGGGATTGATCCCCTCCAGGTGCACCCTCCATGCTTTGGCATGGCACGCCCATGCGAACACACACGCCTCAATTCAGCGGCCGGGAGGCGCGCGGACCCATTTGGGGCCCATCCGCTCCCCTGAGGGGAACAGCTGGGCAGTGCACGGCCCAAGGCTCATCAGAATGCGGACCACTGCCGCGGCAAGTTCGCTTCCCCGACCTGGGATGCCACCCTGTAGGAGCCCTGATTCGACAGGATCGCACGTGGGCATGGGTGAGAAGGTGGCGGCGGCCAGCGAATGCGATCGCGAGGTGGAGTATCGATCGGTGCTCCCCACTAGGCACCTCAGTATCGTCGCTGTCCGCCGACCCCCACTTTAGGCCGCGCGGCAGGTCTTTCACATCGGTCAGGTGAGTTAGCCTGATCCGCGGCCTAAGGTTACATCCGAGACGATCCTCCTCCTCCTCCTCCTCCTCCTCCTCCTCCTCCTCCTCCTCCTCCTCCTCCTCCCTCTCCTCCTCCCCCTCCTGCTCCTGCTCGGCCTCCTCCTCTTCCTCCTCCTCCCCCCCTTCCCCTCCTCCTCTTCCCCTCCTCCTCCTCCCCCCTTCCCCTCCTCCTCCTCCTCCTCCTCCTCCTCCTCCTCCTCCTCCTCCTCCTCCTCCTCCTCCTCCCTCCTCCCTCCTGCTCCTCCTCCTCCTCCCTCCCCCCCCTCCTCCCTTCCTCCTCCTCCTCCTCCCCCCCTTCCCCTCTCTCCTCCTCCTCCTCCTCCTCCTCCTCCTCCTCCTCCTCCTCCTCCTCCTCCTCCTCCTCCTCCTCCTCCTCCGCCTTCTCCTCCGCCTTCTCCTCCGCCTCCTAGTCCTCCTAGTCCTCCTCCCCAGAGGATGGTGCGCAGCGCGTTCCGCCCCAGCGATGACGCGACGACGTTTCAATTCCTGGTGCCCGCCAACGCGATGGCCGTCGTCGAGCTGCGGCGCGCGGCGGACGTGGCTCGACGGGCGCGGGGGGACCACGCCCTCGGCCAGGAGCTGGAGGACCCTCCTCCTCCTCAGTCTCGGCCGTGAGCTGGAAGCCGCCTTCCTTCTTGACCCCCTCCTGCTCATTATCCTCCTCTCTCCTTCCGCCCTCCTCCTCATTCTCATCCGCCTCTCTCCTCTCCCTCCCTATTCCTCCTCTCCCTCCCTATTCATCCTTTCCCTCGCCCCTCCCCTCCCCCCTCCTTCTCCTCGCTCCTCCTTCTCCTCCTCCTCCTCCTCTCCTCCTCCTCCTCCTCCTGCTCCTGCTCCTCCTACTCCATCTCGTCCTCCTCCCCACACTTCTCTCCTCCTCCCCTCCTTCCTCCTCCTCCTCCTCCTCCTCTTCTCCTCCTCCTCCTCCTCCTCCTCCTTCCTCCCTCCTCCTCCTCCTCCTTATCCTCCTCCTCCTCCTCCTCCTCCTCCTCCTCCTCCTCCTCCTCCTCCTCCCTCCTCCATTCCCGTCCTTCCCTCCCCCTCCTACTTCTTCTCCTTTCTCCTCCTCCTCCTCCTCCTGCTCCTGCGACCGGCTGCGGACACTTCGTCGCCGACCTTCCTCGGGCGGAGAGCGCACGTGACGGGCCTGTGTCCGCGGCCCGAGGGCCAACCTTGTGATCACACTTTCACGGAATCACAGGCCTCCTCCTCCTCCTCCTCCTCCTCCTCCTCCTCCTCCTCCTCCTCCTCCTCTTCCTCTTCCTCCTCCTCCTATTCATAGTATCCTCATAGTATCCTCCTCCCTCTCCCTCCTGCCCTCCTCCCTCCCTCCTCCCTCCTCCCCTCGCCCCTCTCCCCCCTCCTCTCTCTTCCTCCTCCTCCTCCTCCTCCTCTTCGTCCTCCTCCTCCCCTTCCTCCTGTCGCACCCCGAGGCCAGTTTCCAGGGCGGGCCGGGCGTTTCGCCTGAGATTCCCTCACCAGTTTTGTCCCTGAAGCTTAAAACGTGGCAACGGCTTCACAGATGGAGGGCGGGTCGTTTTCACGATGTGGCTCTCGCCTTTAGCGTTGGGCACATTCGTTGAAACAACTTTTAGAGCCTCACGGATTGAGGGCGGGTCGTTGTCAAAATGTGGTTCTCGCCGTAGCGCCGCGCACATTCGTTTCAAACATGTGCAAGGGCTTCATGGATTGAGGGCGGATAGTTTTCAAAATGTGGCTCTCGCCTCAGCGCCGCGCACATTCGTTTCAAACATTTGCAAGGGTTTCGCAGGTTGATGGCGAGTGGTTTTGAAAATGTGGTTCTCGCCCCAGCGCCGCGCACATTCGTTTCAAACATGTGCAAGAGCTTCATGGATTGAGGGCGGATGGTTTTCAACATGTGGCTCTCGCCTTAGCGCCGCGCACACTCGTTTAGAACAATGTGCAAGAGTTTTGCGAACTGAGGGTGGTTCCTTTTCAAAATGTGGCTCTCGCCTCAGCGCCGCGCACATTCGTTCATACAAGTTGGAAGAGTTTCACGGATTCGCATGGTCAACGTACCGAATTGTGTTTTGGAAGTTGTCAGGATTATGCGGATGCAAGCGTGATGCTGGTTCGCGGTGTTGAAGTCCCCAAAATTGCGCTCTGGTACGGAGCGTCAAGACGCAGCAGTCAGGTTGATCCGTGTCGTTGAAATCCCAAGAGCGATGTTTTGGCATGCCTCAGGGGCTTCAAATGGTTGTCTTCCAACGAGGCAATTCCCGCAATGGAAATGAACCGTTGTATGGGGCCTATGAAGAGGGAGCTTGGAGGGAGGGTTAATGCCAACATCGTTGATAAATCTTGGGTTTACACTAGTCCTCCTCCTCTTCATAGTGTCCTCCTCCCTCTTCCTCGTGCCCTCCCTCCTCCCCCCTCCTCCCCCCTCCCTCCTCCGCCTCCTCCTCCTCCTCGTCATCATCATTATCACCATGATCCCTCTCCCATTCCTCCTCCCCTCCTCCTCTTCATGGTATCCTCCTCCCTTGGAGCTGCTCTGTTCCGTCTGGCAATCAACACTGTCGCCATGCCCGTTGCCCCGAGACTCGTATTATTTTCGTCCTCCTCCTCGTCCTCCGCATCCTCCTTTTGATGCTCCTCCTGCCTCCCACTCGTCCTCCTCCATTTTTCCTCCTCCTCCTCATCGTGTATCTTCCATGTGCGCTGTTTCCTATTGCGGGCCCGATGGGGCTCGGGAGCCCCTTGCTGCCGCCCGGCGTCGCGCCTGCGCCTACTCGTGCGGACAGCCTCCTCGCTCGCACGAGGCCTCAGGCTGAGGCTGACCACTGACACATGTCTGAAGTGGGCGCTCCCGATACCGGCGGCGAGCCCAGGGTGAGAGGGAGAGGGGGCAGGCCTTCTCAGAGGGCGGCGGGGCTTCTCAGAAGACCTTGCGCCTACCGGGAATCCGCCTGTAGCCCGGGTCGATGTGTACGCAAGGCTTACTCATAAGGCGCGAAGGTTTCTGAGGCAGCCTTGCCGCCTCTCACTTACCCCCTGGGCTCGCCGACGATCCTCCTCCTGCTCCTCCTCCTCCTCCTACTCCTCCTCCTCCTCCTCCTCCCCCTCCTCCTCCTCCTCCTCCTCCTCCGCCTCCTCCCCCTTCTCCTCATCCTCCCCCTCCTCCGCCTCCTCCTCCTTCTCCTCCTCCTCCCTCCTCCTCCTCCTCCCCCTCCTCCTCCTCCCCCTCCTCCTCCTCCGCCTCCTCGTCCTCCTTCTCCCGCTCCGCCTCCTTCTCCTCCTCCTCCCCATCCTCCTCCTCCTACTCCTCCTCCTGCTCCTCCTCCTCCTCCTCCTCCTCCTCTTGGCTTTCTTTAGACCTGGCTCTTTGGAGGCAGGCTGCTATCGTAGTCGCAGGTTCTTCTCGTCATTCTGGGCAAATTGTCGAGCCCTAGGGCGTGGAAGAAAGAAGCGTCGAGAGGTCCAGGGGCTACGCATTAACAAAAGCGCGACGTCTGGGGGAGGGGGGGACGCCATTTTGACGGGCGGAGCGAAATATGTAACCGGTGTTATGTTATCATGGCTTCTTCGAGGGGGCCCAGACCGCTGGCGGAATGTGGTGTTTAATCCCTGCATCTCTTCTCAATTTCGGCATTTGGAACCCCCTTCTGAGCTCCAGGATTATCGAACAAGGGCCTGGGATACAAACACAAACCGTACCCAGAAATATGTTTGGGCTCCACGGAGCAAACACGTCAATCCACAAGAGGTGTGTTCCTCCTCCTCCTCCTCCTCCTCCTCCTCCTCCTCCTCCTCATCGAGGAGAAGCAGATCGAGGTTCGAGAATCGACGGCCGAAATGCGTCACTACCCCACAGGATGGGGCATTAGATACTCAGAGGAAGAATTCCCTCCCCTGCCTCGCGCTCTTGACGAATGCAGACATGAAGAACACACAGCCTGAAGGCTGGACAGTAAGACACGCACAGCAGGAACAGACGTGCAGAACACAGGGACACCATAGTGATGCACTGGAGACGCGCGCAATCTGTAAAGACACGCATGCGCACCACGGACACCTGCAACGTACCTGCGCCCAGCATGATGACGTATAGCATACAACTAAGCAGCAATCATATTGCACTAGCGCAGCTATCATACATGAACCACCAATCTTCACACACTAGACACAAGCATCATGTGTGCCTTCCTTACGCCGTTGGCGGTAAACAGCGAGCTTCCCTCATGAGCGTACACAGTGAACACAATATTTGCCATACAATGTGGTACTCTGCGTTGGTAATTCGACATGGTGACGAATCAGACACTGCAGGCGTCGCGACGTCCTGCAGGCGTCGCGACGTCACTATGTCCCAATATGTTCATGAGCACAAGCGGCCATTCAGCAAACGGCAACTAGTATAAGACTGACGCGTTCTCGCCGCGCCTGCCTGACTATAACCCAGCGCAGCAACTATCATTTCATGAGCGACAGACGCCACGCCATATAAACCAGTACAAGTGATTGGCAGAAAAGGAAGGCAAACTTATATCAGCGTTCAAAGGCTAGGCATGGCAGGCGTCACGGCGTCCCGATGACCCACTACACACAAAGCGTTGCAACGACACGGATGTAATGAGTAAGAGTTTTGTTTATTTGACAAGACGAGCGTGAACACTACATACATGCACCACAGTGATACATGCTGGTAGCGTGCATCAAGACAGATGGCATTATCGTACAACCTTGGAATGATGACCCCACGACTAATCAGGCACGGCAGGCGTCACGATTTCACGTTGCCCATGAAGTACCAAGTGCAACCACGTCTGTTAGAACGCCGCAGACAGCCCGACCAGATAGGACAGCTGTGGCAGTAGGCGGCCAAATCAAGCAGTAGGTCAGGCGCCACGACGCCACAACGATCTGGGAAACATTCATTTGATCGTACCCACGAACAGCAGGCGCCACGGCAGACAAAACAAGATCACGACAGCAGGCGTCATGAGACAGAGCGATACATCCCACAACTGCGCAGGCACGGCAGGCCTCGGGAAGTCACGCTGGCCTGAGAAAAAAAACACAAAAAAACGATCGTAGAAGGAATCGACCTGGTGTGTTGGGATCTCGCCCGGTGCCCGACTGGTGGGCCGCCCACTGGCGCCTCGTGGGCGTCTGCCGAGGTTTCGCCCCGCGTCCGCCCCGTGGGCGCCTCGATGGGCGCGTCGCCTGCGCCAGGTGCGCGGGGTGGGCGTGCCGAGGCTCCGCCCAGTGCCCGCCGGAGGGCGCCTCGCGGTGCCGCTTGCGCTGGGAGGTCGTGCCGAGGTCTCGCCCCGTGCCCGCCCATGGCCGCTTCGTGGGCGCCTCGTGCGATGGGCGGCCGCGTAACTTGCACGACGCAGCTTGTACCACATCCCCTGCGCCACGAAGCGAAGCCACACGGCATCACACAGCCTGCGCACAGCTAGCTCCACATCCCTCATCAAACGCCCCCCCTCAAGAAGCTGCCCCCCCTGCTTTGGCTACTGAGTATTGTGGCACACGCGTCCACGGGAGGCGCCATAATATTCTGGGATCCCTTGTTGTGAAATTTGCATTTCTAGTTATGTTGGCGAGTCACGGGGTTG